TAAAGGAGAGAAAGGAGGGAGAGAGGAGCCAATCAGAAAGGGGAGAATGAGAGGTGACCAATAAGAGAAGAGATAAAGGAGGGAAATGAGAGAAGAAAATATGAGGGGGAAAACGGGTCTTTTGACCCGTGAGGCATAACCGGTGAGATTCATCATCTTCCGGCCAAATTCCGACGAAATTAATGTCCCCCACCACCTGAAAATTATCTCTAATCATCTCTTTTACGTATTCCACCACAAATTGGAGTTTAATTGGTTTTAGAATTGGGGAAAACACCTCACGGGTGCCGCAACCTTCTTCGCTCGAAATCCATCAAAATCTGAAACGTTTTGGTTAAATTACAACCACCACTAGACTCTCCATGAACCAAGAAACAAAGCCCATTCATTGGTTGGGGTATCGGAGTTGCTATGGAGTCGAATTGAGGACACCCAAATTCTAGGGTTCCGACGGATTTTGATGAAATTGGAGCCTTTCCAGGCAAAATTGGCCTTGGTTGCAGGTATGAAAGTTTCTCTACTCATTGAGATCCTCATTTCTATAATTTTTTAGAATTTTTAGGAATAGTTGAATTTTTCGGCGAGTCGGGCGGCGGGGGCGGCGGCGCACGGCCAGGGAGCTGACATTTGCATTGTTATATGAATTACGTTATTTTAAGTAGGTTGTTTTTGATCTAATTGTTATGGTTTAAGTGGTGTATGTGGGATTAAATGAATAGTTTGTATTTGGTTCAAAACTTTGAACTTTTGAACTACGAAAGGCTTGATCACTGTTCAGGGTACGTTCACTGTTCAGGGTACGTAGACAGTCTAACAAGACGTTAGATGCAGCCATAAAATATGTGAAGTTAAATTAATTCAAGAATAAAGGTTACATAATGGAAATTGGTCCTTACAAATAAATGGTACTAAATTGGAATTTAATTTGGATGTTTTGGAAAAATGAATAATGCTTATAAATTGCTTGTAGGATGAAGGATTTGAATTGGAGTTGTTAGCTAAGGATAATAAACTAAATAAGATTTTTATTTTGGGCCTATCATTAATATTATTATTTCTCGAAATAAAATAAATATTTCGGGACCAGGGCGTTACAATTCACATAAATCAAAACTTAAAGCAGTAGGCGGTAAAACTGTCCATGGTAAATAAATTGCTTTTAAGTAAATAAAGCTTGTGACAAGGGCCTTGATTCAGCACCATTCTCATAAATATCAAAGCTTTAAAGCAAAGGGTAATAATTCTATCCACTGTAAATAAATTGCTTTAAATAAATAGAACTTGTGAAGGGATTTTAAGCCAACACTATTCACATAAATAAATAGTATCAGAACCTTTTATTTTGCCACTTCCTTTTGTCCTTTTTATTTGTTAATTAATTTTTTCTTTCTTTCTGTCGACACCAAGCTTCAAAACCTTTTCTTTTCTCACATGTTGCACAATTCCAAAAAAACAACTTTGCCTTTTGTTTTCTTTCACATGGTGCAACATACCTTTTCAAGGCTTTGGCCCCATTTCGCTTTTTATTTTTGTTTTCACAGTTCTAAAGTCATTTTGGTTACTCAGGAAATAATAGTAACAATAGGTTCCAATTGGTGTTCCTCCTCTGTGAGTTTCGAAAAAGTCGAAACAGTTCCTATAAGTTTTGGAGTCAAGAGTGTCTGCTACTTATGAGAAGATCAAACCCTTATATTTAGTTCAAATTTTAGTATGATATGGTTAAGAGGATACCGAACAACTTTTGTGAAGAAACAATTTTGATTTGAGCTACCAAAATGGAGTTTTCGTACTCATAAGGTGCCTATCCAATTTTCTACGGAAATTGGAAACTGGTTTGGTATTTCTGGCATCTGCAATGATCTCACCGTTGGAATTTTTTGAAAATTTGTTATGTTGTAGGTACTGGGCGGACGGACAACTTTGAAGAAGAAAGTATTTCAATTTGAGATCTGCAAGTTGGAGTTCTGAGGCTATTTACATGGCTGTCAGATTCTCTATGAATTTTAAGTCTGTACTCTTTTGCTTCTGCAAAGGATGATAAACAATCATACAACAATATATATATTTGCTTCAAGAAAATCAGTAGTACAAAGATTTTAAGATGAAATGAAAAGATTTTCTTATCTGTGAGATTCCAGGCGACAGGGGTGAACATGATTTGTGGTGTTGTGCTTTCCAATGACATGAGAGCTTCTCGTGTTGATAACGTGTTGTAAAATCGACAGTGTGTGTAGTGGAATAAAAGAAACAAGACACAAAATTTACGAGGTTCTTCTACAGTCAGTGTGACTGGAGTACGTTCTCAGGGCAGCAGTGGTGATTTCATTATAATTTAGAATAATAGGAGTACAAAGATAACTCTCTATTATCTCCTCTCTTTTCTCTCTTCCTTTTCTTTCCTCTCTCTCTACTGTGAGTCACTCACCTATGTTTGGTGTGTGTTGCATTTATATAGAAAACATGAGTCGTAGGGAGTAAGCTTTGGCAGACAGCGAAAGACAACTTTTATTCCCACTTGTAGCTTAGTGGATTAGTGGCCAACATGGACATCCACCATATTTACAACAACGATTTTATATTCGTTTCCAACTTTTCTAATTTAGGGAATCAAACGGCATCCAAAAAGTATTTGTCGATATTTTGAAAGTTTCACCAAAACTTGTTGATTGTGTTTGGTCAAGGTCAAGGATTTTTGGCAAGCTTTAGTAATTAGCAGATATAGAGTTAGTAGTTGAGTGTAACGAAAAGTTTTGGTTTAAGCCTTGGGATGTTATTTTACTTGTAGTCGTAGTTGATATTAAATATTAACAGTGGAGGAGGAAACGATAATTTGACCTACCTTTTTTTGGGTCAGAATTTGACCTACCAGCTTAGACCAAATTATTACGACTTATTATTTCTTTCCACAAAACAAGAATATAAAAGAAAAAAAAAAGAGGTCATTAACATTAAATATGCAAAAAAAAAAAAATCATATAAGGTTGTATAATGGAGATTGTTTGGGTCCGTCTTTGATTTTACGATATTTTAATCTAAAATGTGATACCAAAATGCTCATAGAGGCGAGAATATTGACTTTTGTTGACCGTCGTGTCGTGACATATTTGACCCATTCTCTTAGTATATTTATGCAGTACTCGTCGCTATAGACGCGTGGGCGTAAGGTAATTGAATTTGGAGATACGATGTAGATTTTACAAAACTTCGAAGTTGAAGGGCACTTTAGTAAATTCACTATTCTAGATATTTGGTTTTGGATATTTTTATTATTTAATATAAAACTGGCGAAATATGCAACTTCAAAAGATTAATTTTTCAGTGTGACTTTCATACAAATGCGTGGCATTATTAATCCTCTCATTCTATAGTAAGTGCATATATTTAGTGAAACTATGTGCAAATAAATTTAATTAAGTGTGCATATCATAGCACATGAATTAGTAAACTATGTGCAAATAAGCCACCCATTGTGTTTTAAGTATACTACAACTTGTTATTTCTTATATTTCCTCAGAAGAAAAATATAAACCAAAGGTCACGGCTTCTTATTAAAATTAATAAGAACAAGGGAATTTGTACAAGGCACCCAGAAAGTTTTATATTATTAACCAAAAGAATGAGAAACATTTTCGTGTGTTACGTTCTGGTCAGTAGGTAAGCGTTCACACCTTTGAATCCACTGAAACTTGTCAAGGGTGGAAAAGTTCTGTCCATATTTTTTTACGAATTTGGCTCTTGCCAAAGATGGGCAACTTCAACTTGGATTGCTGCTCACGCGAAATATTATAATCTCCCGATGTATGACATGTATCAGGCAATGGATGGTTGGATGTGCGGTTAAAGATTCAATTAACAGAAAATTCAACAAAAAAGGATTTCAATGCATTACTATACAACGGGCATACTAGAAAATCCAGCTCACGTAACCTTTCTTCCAATATCTTGAACGATGAACTAGGGATAAGTCTCATATGCGCGAGCAAATGAACTGAAGTCACGAGAGATATTTTTTTTTTGGGTGACAAGCCTATTTAGCCTTTCAATTCCAACCTATTCCGTCTGCACCAAAGCCAGTCCGGTCCTACTGGCTTAGTGAGTACCAAATAATGGACATGAATCCAATCAAGTCCCACCCAATCCAATCCTGTCCTGCAAGTCATATCCATGCCAATTCATCACGGCCCACCAAACGTGCCCTAAAATAAATAAAAGGGTAAAGTACAAAAAACTACCTACCTCAACTATAGGTCGAACGACACTATCATACCTCATCTTTTTAAAATGATAATAACATACCTCAACTTACGAATTTATGACAATATCAAACCTCTGTTAATTTTTTTGTTAATTTATCTGTTAAGTGCTGACGTGGCTCCCATTCACTAATTAAAAAATAATTAAATATTAAAAAATTAAAAATAAATTATTTTTTATATAAAATTGTTGGATCCACCTCTACAAATCTCCTCTCTTCTCTCTCGCCTGTCTCTCTTCTCTCTCCCTGCAACCTGCATCCCTAAAATCCCTTCCCACCCGTCCCCCCACAACCTTCCTCCACCACCTACCCTATCTCTAATCCCTGCCCCAAATCAGAGGTACTTCGTCTCTCCCCTCCTCCCACAAACCCCCATCTGCCCTCGCACCAAAAAGAGAGTTGAGAGAGCGAGAGGAGAAAGAGAGGGTGGGTGATGGAGGAAGATTGGGGAGAAGGGTGGGAAGGGTTTCTGGGTTTTGGGATTTTAGGGATGCAGGTTGCAGGGAAAAAGAAGAGAGAGAGAGGCGAGAGAGAGAGAGAGAGGAGATTTGTAGAGGTGGATCCACAATTTTATATAAAAAAATATTTTTTTTAATTTTTTAATATTTAATTATTTTTTTATTAAAAATGAGTCCCGTTTCTGATCACTTCAGCATTTAATAGAAAAAGTAATAAAAAAACTGACGGAGGTCTAACATTGACATAAATTCATAAGATGATGTATGACATTGTCAATTTTAAAAGATGAGGTAGGAAAATGTCGTGAGGTAGTTTTTTGTACTTTACCCTAAATAAAATTACAAACGAGAGTAGAAGTACTACTCTTTTTGGCACTTTGGAGTAATACAGATAACAATAACGTTCCAAGAAATTTATACATTACTAGAGCATGTTCATATAAAAAAGTTGAATTGTGTTAAAGAACTTCAAATATGCATCTAAAGTCAACAAGAGTCTTTATAATTAGTGGCATGACCAAAAAATTGGCCTCAAAGAACCACCACGCACCAATCGACAAGCCAAAAGCAGAAAGTTATCGAGTCAAAACTGAACTGAATAGGGATGCGACGATTCCAAATTGCTTCTCAAAACCGGAGCGTGAGATGTGTATTACCTTCATCAAGACTGCAACCGTTTCTGAATTCCACCATGTTCAACTAATCCCTTGCTCTCCAGCACCCTGCCTAGATTGTCGAGACAGCCTGCTGGTGCCGTAAGTTATGATTCAGGTACATGCTCAGAATTCAAGCTTTCATAGTGGAAGAAAAGGACCAGTTTCAGGCATGCTTCTGAACCATAGTTGCTTTCGTACAGCTCATTGAATTAGAATTTCTCATGTCGTTAGGCATTTCACAATGTAATCAGAAATTAGCTAGAACATACACCAAACGTCCTCATCGACTCTATAATGTCCGCAATAGTTGACCCTGCAGTCCCAACAAATCCAAGAGAAGCACAACTACAAATTGTTTGCTCTATGTATAGAAGAACATCAGGCAATCCTGGAGGGCAAACCTTCTTAAACTGACCAGTTCCATCATGATTCTTCAGGACAGTCCCAAGCTTCAAGCCATGACTTGCATCCACAATTTGTTTAGCAGTTTGTATTATCAACTCGTCTTTTTCTTTCAGAAAGAACAGTTTAAACTGAAGCGAATCTTCAACCAATTCCCCCAAATAAGTTCCTGTCCAGTTACTTTCAGGAAGATCAGTCATCACAAAAATATGAATAGGGGGAGGGCTCTGTGTCAAAGCATCCAGTGTTTGTTTTAACTTCAAAAATGTAGCATTCCAGTGGTTCTTGAACTGCCCGTCTAGCAATCTGAGCTGTGCACAAAGAAAAGGAGCCTTTATAGTATCATAAGCATACTTCTTTCCTGCACTTACGATTTCTGGAGCAAATCGAAGGAATTCAATCTTGTCAATCAAAGTTTGTATCCTTCGATCACTCGGAGCTTCAGGGATACTAATGTGTAGCTGCGAACCTTTGTAAGGAGCAGTGAAAAGACTCCCAAATGCTAGCAGAATAGCCGATTCAGCTTCAGAACCAGGTCCAAGAGCGTTATATACATTTCGCCGCTTCCTAACATATGAAATTTTCTTTTTCTTCTTTAGTTGTTCATCCGGCTGGAAAGAATCCAATACCCCGTCCTCATTACCATTTTGGTATGTCCAAACGGTAGTTCTGCAGTCCTCATTAACAGCATATGAACACTTTGCATCGCCATCCATCCCAGATAGCAGAGACCTACATTGCTGTAGTCTATCAAACACAGAGGCCCGTGCATCCAACTCATTGTTGCAAGCAAAATCTACATTCACATTGCACCATGAGGATAAGAAAACCCTGAAATCTACAACTCGAACTAACGAAGAAGAAACTAATGATGATATATCAACAATGTCAGCCATGGAAACATACCTGAAACAAGAGAGAAACATAGTCGTAATTATTTAACAAATCATAAGAAGTATCCAGCCATCGCATATCAAATGAGGTACATTATATTTTATGAGTCTCAAAATCTCTGCTCAACCATTAACAGAAAACTAAAACAAACCCAATAAACCCACATGGAAATCCCATCAATATCAAATCGAAACGAATACCTTTCCAGCATCATATTACAACCCAGATAATGGATCAAGTAAAATCCAAAACTTGGAGCCATCAACATACAAATAAAAGGAAACCCAATTACACCCACATTCCAATTCCACCAAAATTCTACAATTTTGCCCCAAATTAGACCAAAAGGAAGAGAAACAGGGGAAAACCCACATACCTCCCACTACGAATGAGCTCAACCGTATGATTCCAGACCGAAATCCTGATCTCATCAGGGCTCAAAACCCGAAACTTTGGGCAACTGCCGAGAGCAACCGCGTGGTGATCGAGAACCGGAGGGACGACCAAGGTCCGGTTCAGAATGGCAGCCATGAGAAGGGCGTTCTTGAACTCAGTAAGCTGGTTGCTGAAGCCACTGTGGGGAGCGTACCAGAGGAACTTTTGTCCTCCGAGGGAGCGGCAATTTGGGGAAATGGAAAGTGAGGTCTTGAGGAAGAGGGAATCGGGAATGAGAGAGAAGAAGTAGGAGAGGAAGAGGAGGAGGGAGAAGAGGAGGGTCAGGTAGAGAAGAGGGGAGGCGGAGGAGGAGTGTCTTCTGAGAGGCCATGGTCGAGTTGTGGGTCTGTTCCTGGTGAAGAGATTCATGGCTGCTTTTCTGCAACTAACAACTTCCAAATCGGAAGTTGGTTCTTCACTTCTTTGGGAGGCCGATTTGGATCTGGCTCATCTCCGCCACTTCACAATTTGGTGAAGCACCATGACATCAAACAGAGACCAATTTTCCGCATTTGCTATTGATCTTCTTGTATTTAACAAAACAATACAAAATTGCTATAATTTTTGGCTTTTTTTTTTGTTAGCATCCATAAAATGTTGAATGCACCCTACATTAAAATTTAATTAAATTACTTATTTACCCTACTATGCAATGACAATTTTGACCTTATTAGGTATTATTTATCTTCTCAACTATCAAAACTCTCATACTCTCCATTGTTGAACAAAACCTTAACCAATGAAACTACAAACATGTTGATTGAGAAAAAATGATTTTGACGAATGGAATACGAAATTGATGTTTTGGAAGCTTCACATAAGGTAAGACTTCATATTTTTCGTTCTTTTAGGGATCACAAGGAAAAATTAATATGTTCAATTAAGATTCCAAATAGCACTTTGTTGCTAACTTTGTTATTTAAACCTACAAACACACGAAAATAGCTTAAAGTACTAAAATAACTAGAATTAAATAAGTAAATGCCAAGAAACAAGCTAACTAAGTTGCATAAATATGCTCTTATCAAATTCCCACACACTTAGTTTTTGCTAGTCCTCGAGTAAAACAAAAGAAACAAAATGAAACAAAACAAACAAAACACAACCTAACCTTCCAACATTTGCCTCAGGGATTTCCAATGCACATGACATGTTAAAAATCATCATTCCCACAGATTTTGGTTATCTTCACACTTGAGCACAAAATTGCTATAAACTTTGGCTTTTTTTTTGTTAGCATCCATAAAATATTGAATGCACCATACATTAAAATTTAATTAAATCACTTATTTACCCTATTATGCAATGACAATTTTGACCTTATTAGGTATTATTTATCTCCTCAACTATCAAAACTCTCATATTCTCCATTGTTGAACAAAACCTTAACCAATGAAACTACAAACATGTTGATTGAGAAAAATGATTTTGACGAATGGAATACGAAATCGATGTTTCGGAAGCTTCACATAAGGTAAAACTTCATATTTTTCATTCTTTTAGGGATCACAAGGAAAAATTAATATGTTCAATTAGATCCGAGTACTATTTAGATGCACAGTAATACAAAGTAGTTCTTGGAGATATATAGATCCTATACTCCAAGGATACTTTAAACGCTTTCTTTATGTATATTCTTATGAAAGTTATAAGATATATTCATATTTATATATGAAGAAGGAAAAAAGATGTTACTACATAAAGAATTTAAGCTCAGTTAAGGGATGGAGGACGTGTTCTTGGTCCCGAATAATCTGAGTAAATCCCGGGATTAGTTTTTCCATGGTTCTTGTCGCGATTAATCTTGCATGGTACATGCCAAGAAACTGAAACAAGAGGGTTAGTAGCTGGTACAACACCTGATTTTTGCAGCTGTTCATCAGTTTCTTTGCTGCTAGGGTTTTGTTGATTTTTGGGCTTTGTTTTTCTCTGATAGAAGATGTGGGGTGTATGTACAAAATATAAGGTGTATATTGAGAATGTGGGGTGTAGGGTATTATAAAAAAGTATGTGTGGTGCATTAAAATAATTTTTAAGTGAAAAAGCAAATGTGGGGTGTATTAAGTATGTGGGGTTTATTCACCAATTTATGGGGTGTTAATATAATAAACCTTTTATTTTTTTATGAAAAATCGATATACATTGACTGAATAAGAAAGATCAAATTTTGGGCAACGAGATCTTAAATAATATTAGAAAATTTTTATTTGAACTCATATAATCATTTTTTATAGGGTAAATTACATAGTAGCCCCTCAAGTTTGAGGTCTATTACAACCTCATACAACATCTTTAAAACATTTCACTTTCATACCTCAAGTACTATTTTATTTCAAAATAATACATCCGTTACATTTTCCATCCATGAATCTGTTAAGTGTTGACATGGCTGCCACATTTGTGCCACGTGGCTGCCACATTTGTGCCACGTGGCAAAAAAATATTTTTTTTATTTTCTTTTTTAAAAAAAAACCTGAATAAAAAAAATAAAAAATAAAAAACTTGAAAACGCAGAAACCCACCCCACCCCTCTTCTCCTTCTATCTGTTTCTTCTTCTCCGCCCAACACAGAAAAACACCAACCACTCTTTCTTTTCTCCCTCTCTCCTCTCTGCATACAAACCCACATACCCCCCCCCGCGCGCCGCAACCTTCTCTTCTTCCCCCCCCGGTGCCGCAAGCAAACCCAAAAAATCTGCAACCAAACCCAGAAAACTTCCCCCCCCCAAACAAACCCAGATCCGAAACCTCTCCTCTCTCCCCCCCAAAAAACCCGGACCCAGTGCTCCCCGACGCATCGCTGAGTGGGTTCGTCAGCTCGTCGGTCGGCTCTAACAACGAGGTATGTATTCAAATTTTGAATTTTTTCAGTGCTTGGTTGGTGGGTTTGGGGTGCTTACGAATGCGGTCAAAGTTCTGATTTTTGAATGGGTTAATCTCAAACCACGGAACGATGTCGCACCGAGAAGAGAGAGAGAGGGGAGGAGAGAGGGGAGGAAGGCCGAAGAAAAAGTGAAAAAGGATAGCAGGGAGAAGAGATGGAGAAAAGAAAGAGTGGTTGGTGTTTTTCTGTGTTGGGCGGAGAAGAAGAAACAGATAGAGGAAGAAGAGGGGTGGGGTGGGTTTCTGCATTTTCAAGTTTTTTTTTTTTTTTTTTATAATTTAGGTTTTTTTAAAAAAGAAAATAAAAAAATTATTTTTTTGCCACGTGGCACACATTTGGCAGCCACGTGGCACAAATGTGGTAGCCACGTCAGCGCTTAACGGATCAATGGATGGAAAATGTAACGGTTGTATTATTTTGAAATAAAATAGTACTTGAGGTATGAAAATGAAATGTTTTAAAGATGTTGTATAGGGTTGTAATAGACCTCAAACCTGAAGGGCTACTATGTAATTTATCCTTTTTTATACTCAATTTAGGGTACCTAATAATCTCGTAATTAAAACATTATCATAATCAAGATTAAAAATTCACCCTTGAAATTGAAGGCATGTTTTTCTATGCTACAAACCTATTTGAAAATTACGTTCCTATATTTTCATGAAATTGAAACATTTTCAACATCCAACAACCGAATTCAATTATGACTGATTGAAACAAGAAGAAGACAGGGAAGCTTTTGGAGACTAATACATACATTTGTTTCACTAGATAGAAGGAACTCAACACCTTCAAATTCAAGGACATTCGCTATATTGCTGCTATGCACAACTATTAGAACTACAAGCAAAGTATAGCCTCCACTCTTCACGAATGAAACGATAAGAAAGCGTGATAGTCATACAAGTAGCTAGACTTTAAAATTTTAAATCCTATATATGTTTCTGCTAGTAATAATTCTTTGAAAAAGGGATTAGTTGTGAAATCTAACGAAAAAAAATTGAATAAATCGATTCATAGCTTAATTGGAGGATTCAAAACTTCAAAATCATCATCTCCAATTCTCCATCATTCAAAAAGAGCTTGTCTTTCTCTGTGAAAACGCCTTAGAGTTTTAGATAGAATAAACAGAGGATAAAGATTTGGTGATAATAGGTTTGATTATTGGTATGGGCTTGTTGATAAATTTTAGTTTTATTCTTAATTTCATTTTGTACTTAATGGTAACTATGCAATAGGATAAAAAGACAAGTCACATTTAAAATTTAAGTTGGGTGTAAAGATAGGTTATATGGGTTCAAATAAAACTTCCCATAATATTAAGAGCTCCTTAAACCAAACTAATTAATTGCCAACTGAAAGGGCAAACCTAGCCAATCTATGTGGAACACCATTGCATGTTCTAGGTGCGTGCAGGAACTCCGTAGGGTGTAGGGCGCGCACCCTAATTTATGCTTTTAGCCAAAATAGTCATTGAGATTTTCATAACTCCTCACTTTGGTCCCTGAGATTTGAAATCAATAGAATTGGTCCTTAAAATTATTCACCATCAATCATTTTGGTCATTCCGTGAAAAATATCCATAAAATAAGAATAAAATGACAAAAATATCCTCAATTTTTGTCAAAATATTTTGGTCTATTGTTTATTAAATTGAGGGTATTTTTGTTATTTTGATTTTCATTCAAGTTTCACGGAATGACCAAATGATTGATGGTGGACGATCCCAGGGATCACTTCTATTGATTTCAAATTTCAGGGACCAAAGTGATGAGTTATGCAAATCTCAGGGATCATTTTAGCTAAAAAGCCCCCTAATTTAAAAGGAAAACTAATGATAAGAGTTTCAAATTTTTGAATTTTAACAAAAAATCATGTAATAACTTTATTTAATGGTTAGGATAAAGCCCAACTTAAATCAATCCAATCAACATTGCCCAACCAAAATAACTTAATGAGTTTCTAGTTTTCAATTTAAAATTTAAAATTGAATTTTAACCGTGTTGATGCATAAAATCAACGAGGACTTTGGTACAACAGAAAATGTTAAGTTTGTGACCTTCGCTAGATTGCTCCGGTCACTAGTGTGGATAAGTATGTAAATGGATAGAGACAGGGAAGCAAACAAAAGATGTACATGGTTCACCCAGATTGGCTACGTCCACAGAGTAGAGGAGTTCTCATTATTGTGAAGGGTTTACACAAGTACATAAGTTCAAGCTCTTATTTTGTGAGTACTAGTGAATGATTTAGTACAAATGACATTAGGAAATATTGTGAGAGAATGATCTCTATTTATAGAAGAAAGTTTCTAGTTTCATTCTGACATTAACACGTGTCGTGTTGTGATTAGCTTCTGATGTTGACACGTGTCGCGCTATGATTGGCTTCTGATGTCGACACGTATCGCGCTGTGATTGGCCTCCTAGTTGGAAGGAAACTCTTCTGGGTCCTTGACGGTATAACGTTAACCGGTGCTCAGTAGTTTCGGGATTGGTCAAGTATGGTACAAACAGTGCTCCCCTAAGTTCCCGAGTGAGGGAAGCTCCTCGGTTGGGGACTTGCAAGATCCAAGCCATTGAGTAATCATGAAACTTCTAAGTACCGAAGTGTGGTATCATTTTCACTTGTCTTATCTGTCTCA